GTTACCTATAAATGAACTCAACAACACGCTATAAGAGTGTTCATTTGTATATTCTGTTTGTTAAAATCTCCTTATTTCCTGATAACACTAGAAGAAATCTGGTAATGGATTTCTGAAAGGCAAAGAAAATAAATTTTAATTCCTTAACACTCTCTACACAATAAAAAAATAAGACAACATACTCTTGCTTGATCCAGCTTGGTCTCTGCCTCCTCTAATTCTTCTCGATACATGTCCATCTTTGTATTCTGACTGGGGTTGGCCTGAGAATTGCGCCATCTTGTTTTTGCAGCATCTAAGTCCAGCCCAAACTAAAAAAAAAATATCCAATGCTGAATAGTGTTTAAATCATTGACAGTTTACATAAAATATACTTAAAAAGAAATACTTAAACTGGGAAAATAAAATTCATTCTTCACTAAGGAATAATGCTAGGTAATGAAGGCAGTGCTCAATACTTTTTTTTAATAAAAAGGGGGACATGTCTTATATTTTATTGAAGACTGAAAAGAGAAGACACTGAAAATACATTTTAAAAATCAAAGTTGAAAAAAAAAGTATGCATACTTTAAAGGAAAAAAAATTATCAATTCTTAAAAAGTTTATTGTTCATACCTGCTTTAGTTGTTTCTTTTGTTTAGAAATGGAAGGGAAGTCTTCCTTGATTAATTGAAGAAGTGGCCCTAGAACTTGCTTTTCCACCTGGTCCTCAAACTCCACTACATCCAGACCCATAGCCTGCTGTACCTCTACTACACGTTCAACCACAATCCTGAAACGTGTGAAAACCTACATGAACACCCACAAGAAGGAGCCTCCCTATCATCATCTGATATAAAGAAATGAAGCCTAAGTCCTATGGAGTGGTATTCATAAAAAAAAAAATCAAATCAAAATGTCGGATTTCATTGAAAATTGCTGTTCCTAATATGAGCATCACTGCACAAAAAATAGCCACAAATGTTATCTGGTATGTTCTGAGATATTTGAGACTTTAATATCCAGCAATATTTATGAAAATGAATAACTGCAGGAAGTTTCATCTCACCAAAATTTTACCTCACTAAAAGGGCACTTTTCCACTATTTTAAAAATAAAATGAATATTAATAATATTCACATAAATTCCTAATATTTGTTTGAGAGAATAAACTGTAAAGTATTATATAACATTATCCCACAAAATTTTTCTTTAGAAGTTAAGGGAAAGAGTGAGACAAAATTTCCAAGAACTTGATAATTTCACCAAAACGGGTAATAGATATTGCTGTTCAAGATCTGAAAATATCTAAAAATAAAAAAAAAAAGATGAAGAAAACGAGGTAATGTATGATGACAAACATAGGCAGCTGCCATCCAACTTGAGGAAGATTATGAAAATTTGTCTCTTTCCTTATTTCAATATCATGACTTCTCCAAAAGCATACAACATATAATTATCTTTTTTGGCCATTTGCCACAATGTCAAAGTCAGTTCTTGGTCAAGAAAAGAAAAGAAAAGAAAAAAAAAAAAAAAAAAAAAAAAAAAAAATCAGAAATCTATATGCATGCCTACACTTCCCTTACAAATATTTTCCGATTTAAACATTTCACTGGTACTTCTCATGCATCCTTACAATTACCACTGAACCCTGCTTCCTAATAAATTATTAATGGCACTATTCCCTCATTAGCCACTCAGTACTTTGCTTCATTCATATAGTCTATATAATCAAGAGTTTTCCTGAGCAAAAGTAACACTTTCATCAACATGTTGGAGGAAAAGACACAGCATTCTGTTTTACTCTTTTACTCCTAATCTTCACTCCTCTGTATCTTATAGACTTTAACCTAATATATTATAGACATTACTGATATCAAACTTTAAAACCATAACTTTTTAAAATGGAAAGTTATCTACACTTTATCAAAAGAAATGAGATCACTGTATAACATCAACTTGCAATCTGCATTACTGCAGCTTAGCACCACTGCTTAGAAAGGCATAAAAAGCAAGCATAGTCATCTTTATATTTCACAACAATGAAAAAGTGATGCAATCATGCTTTACACAGTCAACTTGTATACTTAAGAATCTGAGTAAACAAACCTCAGCAGGTCTTTGTGTTCATGGTTCTCAGCCGATGGTAAACAGTTGAGAGACTCCCTCAGTCCTTCAGCTACTTGATACTCTGGCACTTTCCTCTGAAATATTGTGTGTATATATATCTCCGCTCAAGAAATCATTGACAAAGTCAGAAATGAAGACAGACAGGGAGGAAGGAAAACAGGATAACAAAGAAGAGATATATACATATACAAAATATCACACAAAAGTTATTAGTACCATTTTGGTTCGATGAAGATAACAAAAATCACTAACCAATTTCTTCTCATCTGGCATAGTATGCGTATGAAGGCACTTCTCCAACGATCTTGTATAGGCCTCACATAGTAGCCGTAACTCATCTGCCTGCTCCTCTGCTGTCCGCAACTCACCAACCACATCTGTGCGGTCACTC